CGGGGCCCGGGGCGCGTGGCCGGCGTGTCGCGGCCGCGCTGCCCGGACACGTGCGGCGCTGGCCCAGGGGCCGGGCCGCCCCCGCCTTGCCCCGGGGCCAGCCCGGCACTCGGGCAGCTCTCCCGGGCCGCTTCCTCCTCCTCCTCCCAGCCCGGCTCTGCCCGCGGTCCCGGTTACCGAGCCGCGCGCGTTCGGGCTGTCGGGCACACGTCAGCGGTTCTGCAGTGGCGGGGCCGGGGGAATGCCGCTGATCGCTCCGAAGAGAAACTTTGGCAGCCCGAGATGAGGACTCAGTGCTTCTCATCCTTTTTTCAGCGCATGAGTCAGTGCGTGCTGGTGCTGCTGTTGACAAAGGCTGTAGAGCGCTTTTCCATCAGCTGGGCTGTGGAGCCGGGATCTCGCACTGCGAGCACCTCTGACAGGAGGCCTGTTTGAGCCTGGTCACGGGGCCGGGGGAATGCCGCTGATCGCTCCGAAGAGAAACTTTGGCAGCCCGAGATGAGGACTCAGTGCTTCTCATCCTTTTTTCAGCGCATGAGTCAGTGCGTGCTGGTGCTGCTGTTGACAAAGGCTGTAGAGCGCTTTTCCATCAGCTGGGCTGTGGAGCCGGGATCTCGCACTGCGAGCACCTCTGACAGCCACTGCGACATCCCGGACAGGAGGCCTGTTTGAGCCTGGTCAGAGGACTCAGTGCTTCTCATCCTTTTTTCAGCGCATGAGTCAGTGCGTGCTGCTGCTGCTGACAAAGGCTGTAGAGCGCTTTCTCAGCTGGGCTGTGGAGCCGCCGGGATCTCGCACTGCGAGCACCTCTGACAGCCACTGCGACATCCCGGACAGGAGGCCTGTTTGAGCCTGGTCAGGATAAACGGCTCCTAGGTGAATTAAACACTGAGAACCGTAACAGGGTTCATACTGAAAGTTAAGATAAACTCGAGTGTCTGCAGTATTGGCTCTGAAAGCTTGCTGCTGCCATCAGTGCTCTGCCTTGCCTGCTGGGATCAGTGTATCCCTGCAGGTGCTGTGGTTGGAAGAGACTTTTGGAGCCCTTCAGGAAGCTGAGATAGCACAGCCTCCAGCAGCGGGAGATGGGTAACTCTGAACTGTTCCAACATGAGTGCTGATGGTTGTCTGGCCACGTTGGCTGGCTGCTTCCTCCTCTGAGGGTGCTGAGTTAGAATTTGTTAATGTGTTTTCTTTGCACTGTGCACTCACTGCAATTGTATGGTGTTTTCTTAGCAGGGGCAATCAAGATTATGTTTCATTTAGCCTATTCATTACTCTGACTGGTTTTTTTTTTTGTTGTAGGTGACTCAGCTGTTGTATGTATGAGATTTGTCCACACACTGGCTCTTCAGACAGGTTAGCAATATTTTTCAGCCATCAGCTCCATCATGTTTGAAAGAATTGCTACTTTTACCTTTTCTTAAAATTTTGTACAATGCTGTTACATCCTGTAGAATATTGATTTTCTTGGTCTTGTGAGAAACAGCTTTTTTGGCATTATTTAAATTTACTCTGTGGTGTAAGTGTGGTCCTCATAAGTTTAATGTCCCTGTATCAGTGTCATGAGTGACAGCAGTGTATCTTTATTACATGTATACTGAGGAAATGTTTGTCTTGGTATTTGGCATGACACTGATGGCTGCATACTGCTGCTTTTGTTAGCTGCTTTTTCTCGTTGGCTAATTACAAGTACAGTTTCACAAAGTTTAAAGAAAACATACTGTGTAAACTTTGAGCTGTGCAATTGACTTGGAAATTGATTGGTACTGATCTAACCTTCCTGACTTCTAAGAAACATATCATTAACATGATTTAGTGAAACAAAAAGGTCATCTATTGTTGGTGTGGTCACCTGTGGGAAAGAACGCTGGCTTCTGGCTACATTGAGTGTTCCAGTGTGAGCACCTAGGTCAGCTGTGAAAAACTGATGTTCCAAGGTTGTCAGTTTTCAAAGTGCTTCAGAAAATAAGTAAGAGGGACCTTTTTGTTTGGATTTGGCCAAGGCTGGCTGTCTGTGACACAAGGAGGTGTGAGCAGTGAAAGGGGTCTGAGCAGTTCTGAGACTCCAGCAGAGCTGCTGGACAGCAGCTGCTGTGTTCCCAAACACCTCCCAGGAGCAGTGGGGCTGTTCCAGGCTCTGCTTGGTGCCTTCCTGGAGTGCTGTCTAGACTTTGAGCTTGTTTTGCTCTCCCCACTTACATTTTTTGTTAGTTGTCTTCTAGGATCAGGCATCTGTTCCTGTATCTGTTTCTCATTTCTTTCTAGTCTGTGGAGGACCTCATGGCATTGGTAGGCACTAATTCATCCCTAACCTGGGGAGAGGGGGGTGAAAGTTCCCAGCTCCTGGCCAGGAAGCTCTCAGTGCCTGCAGGGGAGCGTGGGGGCTGCCTGGCAGGAAGGGAAGTTGCATCATGATGTCTGAGTGATTGAGAAACTTTGTGATTCAGTCCTCTTCTGCTGCTGTGCCATGTGAAAGGCATGGTGCATCAGACCAGCTATTTTACTGTGTTCCTAATCAATTATTTAAAAAGAAGGAAATAAATTTCTGTTGACATGGAACCCTAAGATTATATTTTCTCATCTGCCTTGAGGAGGTACTGTCCTACTGTTTTTTGTGTGGAGTGTAAAACAGCCAACAGGACATTGATTTTCTGTGGGATGAAGAAAAATTCCATTTATTCTGTGGAAGTAAAATACCTTTATGTTGTTAAAGCCAGGTCCAAGTGGAGTGTCCAGGTCATAGAGGAAATCAGTAGTAGAACTGGGAACTGACATGGAAAGGTCAGGTTTTCATCAAGCATTTTGACCATTGCACCCTTGTTCCTTTTTCTGGAAACATGCAGATAGCATTTGCTTTATTTCTGTAAATAACAGAAATCTGCAGCAGGGGATTACTTTGACTTAGCTTGTCCAAGGCCTGTTGTAGAAATTATTATTACTTCTGTTGTGCTAAATGTCTCTATTGAGTGCTGTGCTTAAGCATCTTCAACTGCAGACCAGGGAGCATGGTTGTAACACCTTCCTTATTTACTGTCTGTGTGGTAGACACAGGATGGATGCCAGCATCATAAAGTCACCCCAGGACAGAACCTGATGGTAGCTGGCATGGAGAGAAGATGTGTCATTCCTTTATTGCCTTGTGAAACTAAGTCCTTTTGTTAAATCTTCTAAAACTCTTGAGTTTTGGAAATGAGAAAAAAAGGGTTTCCTTGCATTTAATTTACTCAGTGCCCAAACCTTGTCAATGTAGGGTGAACATAAGTGTTCTGCCATTTGTGTTCAGGCTCATCTCTGAATGTCTGCAAGAATTGCCTTGGAGAACAGAGCTTGCTTGTATTCAAATGCAGTTTTTTTTGGGCAGGGATTACTGGTCTCTACAGGGTGACATCTACTATGGTCAAACCTGCTTTGGTTCTGGAGTTGTGTTGCTGTGAAGATGAGTAGGTTTTGTGGACTTGCAGTGGCAAAAAAACTGCCAGAATTCTGACTAGTGCTTGGATATGGTTATTGTTAGCATGAGAAAGTTTATACAAGACAAATCCTAGTTCAAAAATCCTAATTTTACAAGGAAACATTGAAAAAAAAATCTTTTAAGTAACAGTAATGCTAAAATGTTTCCCTTTCACTGTTACACAATGAGCTAAAAATAGTTTTCATTCATAAAAAAGCTGCTTCCTTTGTTAAATAATCTGCATAGCAGAGAACAAAAGTTCATTTTGTAGTAAACTGTAGCTGTATTATAGCTCCAAGTCTGACACCTTTATTCCTGATTGAAATAAGACTGTAAACTTTAAATTTTAGTAGCTGAAAAGCAGGCTTAAATACAATAGAATGGGTGATACTCAGTCTCTGTTCAGTAGCTATGGATGTGATCTGCATAGAAAGCTGAAGTCCTGTGCCTTGCAGCTCCTTTTCTAAAATGTATAATTTCTGCACCATCTTCATGGAGTGCTGTGCAGGGGATGGGATTGGGAAGGGGTCTCCCTGGCTGTGGAATCATGCTGATTGCTCTGAAGTCGTGCAGTGTCAATCACATCCATAATCCTACCAAATTTAGCAGAATTAGCTGCCTTTGCATTCATACAGCTCTTTGGATATGGTAGTGGAACTGGTAGCAAGTCCATTACTTTTTAGTTGGATTGAGATTTTTTATGTGGTATTTAAGACTAAAAGATCATCCTTCAAAATCAAAATACACGACTCTTTTTTTTTTGACCTTTAGCAAAGTTATATGGCAGTGATATTTTCAGTTTAGAGGGTACATGCAGTAACATAAATGGCAGCTCCTTCAGATTTTGTTCTAGCTTAGATGTCAAAATGAAAGGTGATAAATGGCAATGGCTGTGAAATTACAGCTGATTCTTTTAAAGGATAAGAGAACAGTGTAATGAGAAGGCTTTTGAGAAACAGTAGTAAGAGCAGCTTAACTGGATTGAGATGCAATGAGAACATATATGTAGAATGTGAACTTGAGTCATGTTGTGAAGAAGATTTTCATCACCCTACCAAATTTAGCATAATTAGCTGCCTTTGCATTCATACAGCTCTTTGGATGTGGTAGTGGAACTGGTAGCAAGTCCATTACTTTTTAGTTGGATTGAGATTTTTTATGTGGTATTTAAGACTAAAAGATCATCCTTCAAAATCAAAATACACAACTTTTTTTTTTGACCTTTAGCAAAGTTATATGGCAGTGATATTTTCAGTTTAGAGGGTACATGCAGTAACATAAATGGCAGCTCCTTCAGATTTTGTTCTAGCTTAGATGTCAAAATGAAAGGTGATAAATGGCAATGGCTGTGAAATTACAGCTGATTCTTTTAAAGGATAGGAGAACAGTGTAATGAGAAGGCTTTTGAGAAACAGTAGTAAGAGCAGCTTAACTGGATTGAGATGCAATGAGAACATATATGTAGAATGTGAACTAGAGTCATGTTGTGAAGAAGATATGAAAAAGACAAGTAGGGGCAGATATCACAAAGGCTACAGTGCACATGGAGTGCCACGTAGCAAGAGACATAAAAGTCAGCTGCCTGTAAAAGTAGTAGGAAGATTGGGAAACGTAGTAGGGAAGTAGTAGATTGGGAAGTAGCAGTAGGAAGATTGGGAAATGCCTCACTTGGTTTGGTAGGGAGTGCATGTGTCTGCAGAAGGTGCAGAACATCTGAAGGGCTTAGTGCCTGTTTTGCTTGTCTTTCACATGGTGTCATGCAGGTGCTTAACCTTAGAATATTTTTGACAAGGTAGTATTTTACACTACAGCATACTTCCACTAGATGTTTCTGTGTCAACTGGCCCCGATAAGTTTCATTGTACGATTCTTAAAACTCAAAAATATTACCTAGAACTACTCAGAAGTTCTAGAAGAGTGGCAAAGGATGAGTCTTCAATCAGTTACAAAGGAGAAGAGCTCAGGGAGATGAGTTACACTCTGACAGTTCAGTTTGTCCCAGTTCTTCCCATCATTTGAGATTAATAAGCAAACATTCTATTTTCAAGTGCTTGGAAGATACAGCAGCATGAACTGATTTGTGGGAAAAGTAATTGTGTCTGAAGTCTTGATACCTTTTTACTGCAGAGCAGAAGGCTCAATGGCTATAGCAGAAGCTGTGGAGGTTTAGTCTCCTGAACTGATTGATTTAAAAAGGTTTTCCTCATTTTAATGGCCTCATAAGTAAATGGATGCATGATCTGGGGGTAGATGATCCTGTCTGGAGAACTATAATTAACAATTTGGTGTTAAAATGAGAAGTTATGTTGAAGGATTCTGTCCTGGGTCCTGGCCTTTAATAAAATATTAGTCAGCTGGCTGATTAAATGTGCTTAGTAAATTCTCAGGGACTGTGTTGGAGGACATGATGAGAGTTCAAAATAACCTGAAAAAGTAGCACAACATTCAGTAGGGACAAATGCAGGTGCTGCACATAGGCAGGAATTGCCAGCTGTTGAAATGCAGGGTGAGAAATAACTGGTTAGCTACTAGAAAAAGGACCTGGGGGTGTACTGGATCACAAGTTGAACATGAGTCAGTGTCATGCTGTTTTGCAGAAAAGGCAAATATCTTACTGGGGTGTTTAAACAGCAGTATTGTCTGAGAGACGTAAAGTTTAAATCCATTGGCTTTATTTGCTGTTGATGTACAGTCTGTGCAGACAGCATCTGTTTTGGGTGCCAAGATTCAAGAGGAATTTGGACCACTTGGAAGGAGTTCAGAGTAGAGAAATGAGAGTAATCAGAGTTCGAGGAAACAACTTCATAGATGTGGAAGAAAATCCAAGCTATTTTGGCAAGAGATGAGGAGTTTAGGGAGAATGTAAGAGATTTCAAGTATTTAAAGGATTTGTAAGAAGGAAATG